TCTGGTGTGAACGTAGCATAATGGTTAGACGGAGACCTGGAATTCGTCCTACAGCCCACAGTCTCCCACACACTGCAGTTTGGTGGAGGATTGGTGATTCTTCAGAATGGCTAGAATCAGGCAGATCTGTCTTTGTGAAGGATGCATAGCTCAAGCCACGTGTAAGATTATCCTGAACGAAAGATTGCTTCCCTCTGCTCTGACAATGTTCCCCATCTCGAAGGATGGTTCGACTGTCCTGCACAGCGAGCCGGCGGCAGTCATGCTAAACACGGAGACTGGAGCATTGCTGCTAGCTTCGGATAGAAAAAAAGAAATAGAATAAAAAGACGAAGAAATGCAAAAGATGAAGAAATGCAGACGTCCTCGCCACTCACCAAGAAAATGAATGATTATGTGTGGAGGTCGTGAACTATCCTGGAGTCACCTTCAGTGCAGTGAACCGTGATGTTTGCTGTTCACTGATACGGATAGACTTCGCTTGACATTCTCTCCAATGATGGGATGATCTTTCCAAGTCAGTGAGACGTTGTTCACAGAATCCCATCTTCTTCTCTTCAGTGTTCAATCTCATCTCAACATGACTGACTTTGCCTTTAATTCAGCACATACGAAGTCCAGGTTTTTTTCAAACCTTCAACTTATAGGGCATTTTCACTCTGCATTTTTTTATGGTGTAAGAGAGTGTTAATCAGATTAGAGAGTGGCGAGATAACAGATGAGATGTCATCATCTGCCTTGCTCTTTTTGGATGCAGGTTTAGCTGGGATATCTGGAAGTGTGTTGGCCCCAGTCAGAGTTTCCTCAGACGCGTAGCTCTGTGAAAGCCCATCCTGTCGGACTGCCACGAAACGCGCCAAATCTTTCATTTTGTCAGCGGTCGACTTCATATTTCAAATCACAGAGAAAGCAGAAAGATAGATGTGGATGATTTTGCTCAAAATTAACTTTAAAGGTGCTGTATGTAAGTTATTTTTTACTGAAATCACAGCCATTCAGAACAGTTTGTGGGCGGAGTCTCTCTGTGAAAGCACACTGCTGGCCCGTAATCGCATTGGAAATGGGTAAGGACATAATCAATTCAAGAAATTACATTATTAAAAATCAAAACATTAACGAAATATACTCATTGACTAATTTTGTTATGACGTACAGTTGTATGTTTGCATAGAATTCATTTTGAACGCTATATTACATGCTTTCAAAAATCTGAGGTAAATTCGCTTGTGGCACAGTGACCTATTTTTAACTAAAGATAAAGAATGTGAACTGATAACCAGTGTAATTTCTTCATTCTGTCAGCCACGACGTCGCAGAAATAGGAACCGTTTCTAAATTAGAAACTTCGCGTTTCGCCGTCGCGTCTGGTTAGGAAAAAGACTGATTAAAATGGAAAAGATGTAGCGGCGTTGCGACTAACGTTAAAGGGTACCCTAAAACGTCGGATGTTGATGTATGGTCAAAAGCATCAGTTAGATGACGTCTTGGGATGAGAACGGGCTGGTAATTCTGCTTTTTGAGCCCATACATTCATTTCCCTATAGTGACCCAACTTGTAGCACTCTAAAAAATGCTGGGTTGTTTTAACCCAATTTTGGGTCAAATATGGACAAACCCAAAATGTTGGGTTAAAAATGTAATGTAAAAATTTAACCCAACGGCTGGGTTAGTCCATATTTGACCCAAAGTTGGGTTAAAACAACCCAGCATTTTTTAGAGTGGGGGGAGCCCATTTGGGAACTACAAGTTGTCCCAGATAAAATGCCCATTTTGGGCCAATGCCCAGAGTAATCCACCATGTGGGGCACACATACACATGTTGACTGGGATTTAGAGGCGCTACAGTGCCATATCATCTCATCTCAACTCGAACTTACAAAAATCTGTGATAAAATATTTTGGAATGACAACTTTTGCAGGATTTTGCTTGTCTTTTAGTCTACTTTCCTGACAGTTAATTATCTAGAAGAGAGTGCAATATAAATTGACATTTCTAAATTGGTTGGGCTGATTGTTACTCATTTGTTACTGTGATGAAGAACAACGTCCTCGCCATTTCTTATAGAATATTTGGCAGCTGAAGTGGTTCGACTGTGGAAGCGTGTGTTAGTTGTGCTGGTTTGTGATGGAAGGCCAACTGAACCTTAGCATCCACAGATGTCCATGTCTACAGTGATGTGTGTGTGCATCTTCCAGAGATCAGAGCTTAATGAGGAGGACTATATTCTCTGTTTACCAGGATAATGTCTCTACGTAGGCTGGGAATCACACAATAGAAAAGGAGACGGCAGGAGGGCAACGCTTACACAAATTGCCGCTTTGAACGACTGCCTCTAATATGCTGCTTTGCTCAACACCACAGATTGGATTTCAGTATTTTAGTTTTTTGACATACAATAGCCTTTTACATCAGTTGTAGACAACTTCACGATTCTGCCTTGTGTCACGTGTGTTTGTTCAATCTATCAGCACTTCTGGTCTGGTTCACACCTAGAAGGATAACTACGCAGTAAAAAAACGTTGGGTTATTTTTTAATAACCATATCAGGTCACATATTCACATATTGGGTCACTTTGTTGGGTTATATTGGGTAATTTCTAGTATTAAACCAGCTGTTGGGTTAAACACGTATGTTGTGCACTTATGTATTTTGAATATGTACACAATTATGTATATTTCTACATTAACTTCTAGACTCCCCTTAGTTTGTAATTTAAAAATAAATTTTTTAAAATCAAATTTAGTGTTTTTTTTTTTTTTTTTTTTTTTTTTTTTACAAATAAACAATCTGTATTTGAAAACAATGTGTATTTCTATTTATTAAAATAATGACATTTAAATAAAAATGAATAGATAACTTAACTGTTGGATAACTTTTAACCCAACCTGCTTTTAAACCAATGTATTGGGTTAACATAACCGACCATTGGGAAGGTGCTATACCACCCCATATTTGGGTCAGTCGTTGGGTTATTTTTAACTCAACATTCTTAGTATAAAGATAACAACAGTCTAACAAACTAGATTAGAGTCCACACAATATTGTTCTGTTTAAAAAAAAGATTGTGATTTAGCATGAATACGTTAGCCTTACTGTTATATATAAGCTAGTGTGCTCCAAAACATTGACTCAATTCACATAAGCATTCAAATCTTAGTCTCTCACTTCCACCAATATGGATCAATGATTTTGATGACATCACTCTGCATTTCAGCTTCTCATCCAATTTTCTGTCCAATCAAATGCTTTCTAGAATATAAGGCTCCGCCCCCCACCCCCCACATTATAAATAGATGCTGAAGCTGCGGCTAAAATCGGTCACTTGTTTACACATTTACCATTTTCTACATGAGGAATGGCACATCGTGCACTATATAGGGATTAGGGAACGATTCAGACAGTGTCAGACTCATAAACACGTCTGACTTGCTTTCCAGCCAGACCAGAAAACATATCAGATCCATTTGAATTATACACCAAATGCTGTATTTTAAAGTGATTTGGGGGAGATTATGAGGAGAAACGGTTTGAGATTAGGATGAAACTGCAGCTTTACCAAGCTCTGGCTGAGCTGAGATTTAAAACAAACGCTATTGGCTATTTAAAAAAAGGGGTGGGGCTGTCCAATATGCCCCGCCCTGTTTTCCCGTTTTAGTGGAAATAACGTCAACACGTTGAATAATGCTACACGTTTCGGCTGAAAAAACAAATCTGTAATTGATTCCAGCAATATCGTTCATTATCGTTATATTGTTATAGTTATGGTGTTAAGGGGTTAAGGGTAGTAATTTATTTGAGAAGATTTCAATGTTGTAATATTTCCAATTTACACTACCAAGTAATGTTATTAGATTTTTGTGAGTAATTTTCATTAGTGAAAAAGTATTTGAAGCTGTTTTAAACTAACTAGCCCCTGACCTCTCAATAGAACATTACGTTAAAGGAGTTGTTCACTTTAAAAAAAAAAAAAAAACTTTTTGCTGATAATTGACTCACCCCCATGTCATCCAAGATGTCCATGTCTTTCTTTCTTCAGTCGAAAAGAAATTAAGGTTTTTGATGAAAACATTCCAGGATTTTCTCCATATAATGGACTTCAATGAGAACTAAACGGTTCAAGGTCCAAAAGACAGTTTCAGTGCAAACTGTTCAAAGGACTTTAAACGATTCCAGACGTTGAATAAGGTACTTATCAAGCAAAACGATCGCTCATAAAAAAGCGAAGTTTAAGTTTTATAAACTCAAATAGTTGCATTGCTCATTTCTATGATGCGTGTTCATGACTCTCCTGTTCGAACTTCGAACTCGTTCATCAAAATGAACAAATCTTTTCCCGAGTCAATTTGTTCAGTTCGTTCGTTAAATGAATCAAATGACGCGAAAAAAGATTTGTTCATTTTGATGAACGAGTTCAAAGAGGAGAGTTGCGAATGCGCATCACAGAACAGAGCAAGGCGAACATTTGAGCTTATAAAACTTAAACTTTGTTATTTATTTATTAAATGAGCGATCGTTTCGCTTGATAAGACCCTTATTCATCGTCTGGTGTCGTTTAAAGCCCTTTGAACAGTTTGCACTGAAACTCTCATATGGACTTTGAACCGTTTGGTTCCCATTGAAGTCCATTATATGGAGAAAATCATGGAATGTTTTCATCAAAAACCTTAATTTCTTTTCGACTGAAGAAAGAAAGACATGGACATCTTGGATGACATGGGGGTGAGTAAATTATCTGCAAAAGTTTTTTTTTTAAAGTGAACTACTCCTTTAACTGCATATCTGCTCATCTGCATTTATTAGAAAAAATGATCCAGCAGAGTCACAATACATGATTATGTTTACTTATTGCGTGTTATAAGGAAAAAAGGAAAAACAAAACTTTGTGGCCTTTTCACCTGTAGCACCTCCCCTTCACGCTCACGTCACGAGCCTCTGAGCACCGAGGGCGCGCGCACTCTGACGAGCCGGAGAGAGACGCGCGAGGCACAGGCACAGGCACAGAGCAAGCGCGCTTACGAGACTGCGCCCATCATCACCACCACCACCACCACCACCACCACACCGAGACCCCGCAGCCCGAACAATGGCAGCATCCAGCGGCTGATGCACAGATGGAGACACGCTGGAGCTGACGAGTGGTCTTTTAAGACGCCGTCCTCACAGATGGAGCGATAGAGGAGAGAGAATCCGCGGGCTGTTCTCCATCACTGACGGGAGGCGCGTCCACCTGCGCTCGCACTGGAGGCCCGGGATGCGCGAAAACATGCACAAGTGCCTCTGATTAAAGGAAATTATTTCAACATTGTGCTCAAAAGAACTCGGCGTTAAGAAATAAACACATTCTGTCAGCTTAAAGAATGGGTAAGTGCTGTTCTGCATGAAATACGGACGAAAACGCACCACTTTACCAATGGTAGTGCTCATATATAGTGCACATTGATATTATGAGGTGTTCGTTATGTGCGTATTAATGTTACTTTTGGATACATGAAAGCCTGCTCACTTCTGACACTTGACTCAAAACCAAGGTTTTTTTCTTTTTTTTTTTGCGGTGTGTATGTGTCGTGAAACCTAGTGCGCTGGCATAGACAGCGTGTTTGGGCACCATAGACTCAACCTATACTGACAGCACAGTGGAACATCATGATCTCTAGAGCTGCATACATAGACATTTTTTGGGGGGCTTCATATGGTGTCCAAAAAACAAAAATAGTGAGGCGACCAATCGTTTTTGGACATTACGATTTCCTATAGAGGGCACTTTTGGGATTCTTAGTTGCATTTTTGGTGATCATAAGTGGACTGCTGACTTAGATGTCATGTGTTTTAAATATGCTCAATGATGATATCTAGGTAGGTAGTGTTGGAGCATAATACTTGTGCCAAAAAGTGTAGATGAAACAAACACGTTGAAAACTGAGTACTAAAGTACATTATGATGCTTGTGTCTCTTTAAGATGCGTAATAGTTGTTATTATTAGCATTTGTCTCACTAACCTCAAGTTCTCTAGGTTTGATGGACCTAGACAGCGTTTTTGGGCATTATGGTCTCCAAACCGAGCTCTCCTGAGCTGTGTCCAGGTTCAGTGTGTCAGAAATGCTTGATGCATTTGAAGAATTATGTGGTGACGACTGTTTGTTTGCAGTCATCTAAAAGAACTGAATCTCTTCTGATTGAACACATTGGCAGTTTTGAGCACTATGTCAGCTCAATCTGTGCCGCTCACTCAATGAGTCACAAATCTATCAATGGGCTAGTGTGTTTCTTTCGTTCTTTTTTCCCTGCGTTTAGTCATAGCGTCTGCTGGTTTTCTTCCCTACGGTCTTCTCAACAATGCCCTCCGAGATGACGGCTGTAAGGATGGATGTTTGCGAGGTGAACAGATGGCATTGAACCAGTGAGATTCACGTATTGCGAGAGAAATAAAATAGACCTCTTCCACCCCCACATTGTATTTGTTCTCCATCATTTTTGATTTAATGACATTCCACAGTTCTGGTTACTATTTTTCTTTAATTTTTTTTTACCCTTTATTTTGCAGCGTTCCATTAATTCCACTCATTAATTCCACCATTATTTTTTTTTCTCGCTTGCATTGATTTGCCTTGGACTGCAAGCGTCGTCGGTGTCATTGTGAGTGTATTGTTTTTGTTCGTTTAATTGAAAGATCTTGGCCTAAAGGATTTCTGAAAGCTTCTTTACTGCTTAGCTACTGCAGTGGGAAAAATCCCTTATTAGCCACATTACAACAACAGTTTTGCTAAGTGATTATGTGGTGAGAAGAGAACATAGGCTACCTTGATGATTCACAGGAAACTTGAGAATGTTTCAATTAGTGAGCCCAAGTTACGGCCCAGGCAGATTAATCGCTGTTATTCAGTCTTTATGAGATTATCAGCATTAGCGGCTATTAATGCCTGATTAACTGCTCATTGCACCAAAACATTGTTAGTTCTAATAGGGTCATCTAATAAATGTGTTTGTTTGTTTTTAAATATTTTGAATGGTATTTGGCGTACATGTTGTGCAAAATACTGTTGATTTTAATTTAAAAAAAAATAATTTATCTGTTATCAGCTCTCTCTCGATTATTAACACCATACTAATACTGTGTTTGACCCCCTTTCGCCTTCAGAACTGGCTTAATTCTACGTGGCATTGATTCAACAAGGTGCTGAAAAGCATTCTTTAGAAATGTTGGCCCATATTGATAGGATAGCATCTTGCAGTTGATGGAGATTTGTGGGATGCACATCCAGGGCACGAAGCTCCCGTTCCACCACATCCCAAAGATGCTCTATTGGGTTGAGATCTGGTGACTGTGGGGGCCATTTTAGTACAGTCAACTCATTGTCCTGTTCAAGAAACCAATTTGAAATGATTCAAGCTTTGACATGGTGCATTATCCTGCTGGAAGTAGCCATCAGAGGATGGGGACATGGTGGCCATAAAGGAATGGACATGGTCCTCAGGTAGGCCGTGGCATTTAAACAATGCCCAATTGGCATTAAGGGGCCTAAAGTGTGCCAAGAAAACATCCCCCACACCATTACACCACCACCACCGGCCTGCACAGTGGTAACAAGGCATGATGGATCCATGTTCTCATTCTGTTTACGCCAAATTCTGACTCTACCATCTGAATGTTCAACAGAAATCCAGACTCATCAGACCAGGCAACATTTATACAGTCTTTTGTCGCCTCTTTTTCCTATTTGTAGTGGAGATGAGTGGTACCCGGTGGGGTCTTCTGCTGTTGTAGCTCTTCCGCCTCAAGGTTGTGTGTGTTGTGTCTTCACAAATGCTTTGCTGCATACCTCGGTTGTAACGAGTGGTTATTTCAGTCAAAGTTGCTCTTCTATCAGCTTGAATCAGTCGGCCCATTCTCCTCTGACCTCTAGCATCAACAAGGCATTTTCGCCCACAGGACTGCCGCATACTGGATGTTTTACCCTTTTCACACCATTCTTTGTAAACTTGAATTGATAGGATAGCATCTTGATAGCATCAAATTGCTTAAATCCCCTTTCTTTCCCATTCTGACATTCAGTTTGGAGTTCAGGAGATTGTCATGACCAGGACCACACCCCTAAATGCATTGAAGACACTGCCATGTGATTGGTTGATTATATAATTGCATTAATGAGAACTTGAACAGGTGTTCCTATTATAATCCTTTAGGTGAGTGTATATATAAATAGCTAATTCAAAATCATTAACTCAGTGAGATCATTAAACGCAAACAAATTACCAAAGCCTGCAAAATTGCTTCATTAATGTAATTCACATCACACAGTTAGATGATCTCAGAAGTCGAGAGCATTTCCAACGGCACAAGCGCCTGCAATGCTAGGCAGGGATTTAAACCCCTCTAAAACGTTCCTAAGGATAAAAAAAAAAGATCTCTGCTAAAACTATAAACTATAGGAGCCCTACTTGCACATTACTAGGTGAACAACAGATTAACTTTTAAATCTAATTATTATGTTTTTCTCCAATTTGTTGTTGAAATATAATTATTTACACTGTAACTGGCATTTTTATGACAGAAATAATCAAGAAAGTATAATGAATATATATAATGAACATAGCGAAAGAGTTCATTTCTCTAGCCGACGAACAAGCTGTAGATACTGAAGGGATTTCCTGAGGTAAATGTTACAAGCTAAAAAGTTTACAAGCTCTTTTATTGACGTTTTTCCACTGTTGAATTATCGATTGAGAGTTTACACGAGATATGATTTTTTGTTGTTGTTTGATCTCATAATAAAATGGGCCGAATTTGACAAACGCCGCTTTCTTTCGTATCAAAAGTAACACAAGAGCGTTATTGCGATTATTGTGGTGGTTATTGTAATTCATCAATTCCCCAACAGGAGACCTTAAAGTTGCAATGTAATGCATTCGGTAACTTACACATGTGCACCCTAACGGAAGTCCTGTGGTGAAGTACATGCACCCCTAAAAGACGCCTAAATTAAACTTATAAAATGCTTGCAGAAAGTACAGTTTTGTGAGAATCACCCTTCAATCGGATGCTGGATATAGCAAATGATGACAAAATAAACAAGATAAAGGGTGTATGCTTAATTTCACGAGTGTGCGATTAATGGTTATTAAACATTGTAATAGCCTTCTGTCACGCTGCTTTCCAGTTATTAGAATCATTAAAAAATAGATCCACCGATCATTGGATGATTTGCATTGTCCACACTGATATCAGCAGCACTCGGTCGCTGCACGCTTCTCTGTGTTTGAGTCATATTGCAGCATGTCTTCTCTCTTAGCGTGGATAAGCTCAGTGAGACGCGCTGTAATTAAACAGAGGTGAGGTCCATGGGAGATTGTTCCGCTTCTTGATTGCTTTTCATGGCCGGAGGGGGAGAGAGCTCAGGCTTTTCCTCAGAGAGAGAGAGCACAGGTTTACTGAGACTCACCCGAGGCTAAAGTTCAGGAGCCGGTGTAATGTTTCTCAGTAAAAGACGTCAGAGATATTAATAATGATTCATGTTTGGCCCGTTAAAATGTCTTCCTTTTGATTGGACATTGTTCTGTAATTGACGATGAAGTGCAACATTCGGCCTCTGGAAGTAAAAAAAAGAAAAAGAAAAAGATTTTTAACCATAACTTAAAACCTTTAATAGACAAAGTTCAGAGGTTGTTGAAAGTGAAATGCGTGGTGAAAACTACATTACCCATGATGCTGTGCAGAAAATATGACCAATGAGTCGCGAGCAAGTTAATTCCCTCTCTCATGACACACTGTAAATTATGTAATGGAGCGGTGCAGGATGATGTCACAACCCGAAAACTAATTCGCCGCTGGTTCCCTCAAGACAATATATTTTAAGGTTATTGACTATATATATATATATATATATATATTAGAGCCAGACCGATATATCGGCCGGCCGATATTATCGGCCGATATTAGGCTTTTTTCAAAAATATCGGTATCGGCAGTTATAATGGCCGATAAATGAATATTTAAAAAATAAAATAAAAACGGACGAAACACACTTCAATCATCTCTCCTTGGCCTGTTATATTGAAAATGTATGTTTTGCAGTATGTTGTGATCTATTGCTAAATTATGGCTCATCATAGACTAGCTAACCACAAAGCTAGCTAATGCCACTATCATCAGTGGAAGACCGCTAACGTTAACATTAATGAGCTTGGAAACCACAATGAACTTTTTCTGCCTAAATAAAGTAATGATTACTGTATTTATAACTAGCATATCACTTACAGTCCCTGCATTGTAAAATGTAAGTTATACTTGCGTTGCGAGGAGTGAACATTTAGACATTTATCTTGTGCAGAAAAGTTAGCTTTTCTTTTACACGTGTGTGAAATC